TCGAATTCAGCGATTTTGCTGAGGATTTGAACATTCAAGACAGGTACTTGTAGCTGAGCCATCGCTTAGATCTACGTTGTCAGCATTTTCAGAAATCCCTTTAAGTTACCCGTTCTACACTTACAAGGGACTATATGATTAAAGTGGCCAATGGGTAGTGACCTCCTCGTTGCGCTTTTAGGGTGAGTTGGGGTAAAGAAGGGGCCTGGAAAGAAGAAAACCATGTTTAGTATGCGAGGGAACACATTGGTATATGTATTTCAAGCATTAAAGCATACCGTTATATAGAAGCGGGTAATATCTAGTGTGAGGGTCCACAGTTTCTGTGCATTTGCCTTCTGTGTTCTGCTCTTGAGTTTCCCTGGCGGATGAGGAATCGTCTTGATTAAATAAAAAGGAATCGATCCAGCTGGGAAGCAGCCTTCGTAGCGGAGAGGTCAGAATACAATCCATGATGGTTTCTTAGCGAGCCGATAACTACTTCTGGTAATGCAAATATGGAGAGGATTCGGGCAGTAGAGCGGCGTCAATGGGTTGTTATACTAGCTAATCGACCTTTTAAAAAAAATCGCTTGCTTTGGATAGGCAACCTTGTCAATCTTTCGGTTTCACACAAATGAAGCAATCGGAGGTGGGCAACAAATATGTCAAGTTGTAACTCCGCACAATGCTACTGGTTGACATCATGTCTCAGAGCTCTAAACCAGTTATACATACCTTGGCAGTCTACCGCCTCACCGCTGCCATATCTTCCGGCAGAAATTAGAACTACTGACGGAAATCACCGGTATTGCAATGTATGGTTCAAAATGACAGATGTGTATGACTCTAACTGACTAAAATGACAAATTCCACTATTTAACAATCTGCTTGGGCATAGTTGACTAAGCTCCTATGCATTTTGTATGGGGCCCACTATCACAGCGGTCCATGTAATTTCCGAGGTGTTGAATACTCGGGTTCCAGTCATGTATTGTAATATAGCTTTCGACAACTACTCCCTCAAATTCCAATCAGTACACTCACGTGAACTTTATCTTATCCTACCCATCACATGACTCATCGATCCGGAACGTTAGGCATCATTGAACCCCTCCACGTAGCCCCGCAAAACCTCCATAATAAGACATGCTTCGACACGCTGATTCTCTGCCTATGGCATATGTGGCTTAAAGTTAGTAGCTATACCAAAAACAATCCCTTCACTAACTAACACATAATATCTCGCGGTAGATTATTTGTTTTATCAAAAATCATGGAACCCGAAGGCTTAGGAGCCGATTTAATAGACTCGATGCAGATCCCGGTCTCTGAACACAATCTTTACAACCAAGCCTGCGAAGACGACCGAATCGCAGCCAAATCTTTGTCGATAGCCCCAAATCGAACATCGGCGACACTCTTGGTACAAGGCCGCGGTAGAGAAATGATTGCGCGTGTTGAAAAGCTCTATTCTGTGAGACTACATCTTCTGTCAATTATTGTCGATTTACTTACAATTTTCTAGGGCAGCAAACTACGGCGAGAGCGTCAATTGGAACACCGAGGGATAAAGCCCGCAATCCAAGTGTACTTTCCAGGGGAAACCCAGGTTGGACCGCCGTACATGGCTATAATACCTTTTTATGTTTCTGGGAATGTCATGCTTGGGGACTGCACAGTGCAAATGGGATGGCATTATCACGTCTACGGAGAGTGCCAGTTATCAGTCCAGAACCAACACGGCGTTGACGGTAAATTGGGAGCATGGGTATACATGCTTGGAAATTGATTTTTTGCGCTCTAGGGATTTTCCTGCCCTGCCATATTTCCCCTTAAACAATACTGCATGAATATTCTACTGCCATAGTGCGATCGAATAACCAAGATCCTTTAACGTAATCAGCTAGGCAGGAAATGTTTATGTACTAAAGATTTGGCCCAGAGTCATCAAAATCACTCTGGATAGGTGGAAGTGAAAATTCAAATGGATGCGCCGATAAACACGGTGCCAATTCAGCAAACGCAGGGTTATATGCGATCGCGTAGTCTACTGGTTGGGTTTCGATATCAGTCCAAATCTGCTGAGTTCCGTGTGAGGCTCCTTGGAAGGTATAATCGATTGGGCCATCGAGTTCATCGGGCGAAAGATTTTCGAGCAAAGAATTTACTTCTGATCGAGGACGTTCGTTTGTAAGTAACGGTGGGACTGCCTCGTTAAATAAGTTTTGTGACAGCTCGTGTACTTGATTTTGATATTCTAGTTCTGGTTGCGTTGTGTCTTCGATATTGATTGGCAGCGTACACAAGTTGCTCGAACCTTGATGATATGTAGAATAGTACGGCGAATTTTGTTGGCCTCCGGTTTGGTTGTTGTAGCGAGCACGCTTCGCATGAGGTTGTGGAAACTCGGGTATTGACTCCGTCCTTCGAGCATCTGCGGAACTATGAGTTCAAGCCTTGAGAATGACACGGGGCGTTACTAACTGTTATACCGGGTTTGAACTCTTGCAAACCAGCTATCAATCCGTTTTATAACGTTTGGTAGATCAAATTTTTGGCCATGTAACTCATATTCCGTTCTTGGGACACCATCCACAATAGCATCCACGAGTTGGGGCATTTGTGCATATGTCAAGCTTTTGAAATCGTCCATTGATAGCCCGAGAATTGCTGACACGGTTTCGGACATATTTGGCAGTTTGAGATCTTCGAGCGTTTTCTTGAAGACTGTTTCAAACGCTAAATGCTTGATTCCCTTATTGATGGCTCTGTTTGCATCGTGACATGAGGAAAGGAGAGGGTGAAGCTTAACAAAGTCCGATACCTGGCGACACCGACCCTTCAATTGAGATGAATTGGACTTCTCGGGGTCAAGGTCCCCACTCCGAACGGAAAGGACATATGCAATGACGCTCTGCAATCTGGCCTTGCCATCCGTCTCTTGTACGAAATCTTCTGCGAGGGACCGCATCGACAAGAGTCGTAAAAGCTTATCTTGATTGCTTGGCCTCTGATTCCCCTCTACCCTTCTATAATCCTCCATCCTGATATCCACAGTGGGGTCTCTCTTGTGCGAAATGATTTCGTTGTCTGTGTGGGCAGTGTCCCAAAGCCAATGTATGTGATCTTGCATGGAGCAAACAAGCTTCTCAACCGTACTTTTCTTGTTTTTCCCAGGCTGAGAACCTTTCTTTGGGGCAGGGTTGGCGGTAGTTTGTACCGGGATAATGGCTAGTTCGCTCGTGTTAGACGGCGACAGACTACCAACAGTATTTTCGGTGTTCAGGCGATCGACGGTCGATTCAGCTATGGATGAAGGACTGTCCTTTTCGGAATCACTGGGCGGGGGAGTGCTGGTATCAACTGTAGCAGGTGTGCTTGCAAGAAATCTGACTTGGAGTCTCTGACTGATGATTGACAGCGTCAGGTTTATTTCTGAATATCGAGATTGGAGAGCTTCATCTGTGGCAGTCCTCAGTGTGTCTAAGGCTAACGAAATATCCATAACTGATTGATGACGAGCCAGGTATGAGAAGTTGCGGTCGCACACTGATAAATGTTTACTCAGTCCCCACATATTGTTCTGCCAGAACAATATGTGGGGCCATGGCACGAAATTTGCATGATCTAGACCTATAATAATGTGATGATATGCGGCAGCTGATACGACATTATCTGCGGTTTCCGCGCCTCGCTGCAAATGTAAAGGTTGCGGGGAAGAATGAGGACCGAGCAACAGAGTCTGGCCAGTAAGCAGATCACTCCTTACGAACGCAAATATTGGATAGAGGTTGAAAATCTATGCTCACAGACACTCATCACATTTCGTCACATTACGGCTTGTACGTACATTAGCGCTGCACACAATGTGATAGTCCGTCACGTCTCCACATTATCGAGACCTTCCTTGTATGTATGGGTGGGCCAAGGGCCCAGGCCAATGTGTCTCAAAATTGTGACGAGCCGTTTGCTTCGGATTCCAGACGGTTAATATAAGGAAATCAAAGTGCTTTTATTAATGAACGCGATATCGAATGTCGCGTCTCAGGCTATTCTAGTTTCCTAGTTTGTCAATCATACAATTATGGACTGAAACAGCATAATAGCTATACCATTTTGGGATTAAGTGAGATAATTGTTTCAGCGACTAATGAAATAATCTAAAATATTATACTATCTCTCTATCCCATATACTAATCTCATTTTGGTTTTAAGAGACAGTAAGAAGCTCATAAATCTAGAAGTAGAAAGAGGGGCGACATGGCTAAAATACACTAATCAGCTTATGATTTTAAGAGACACATAAAGCTCTTAAATCCAAAAGTAGATTAGTTGCGGGACGTGGCTGAAGTGCACTAATCTACTTATGATTTTAAGAGACACATGAAGCTCTTAAATTCAAAAGCAGATTAGTGGCGGGGCGTGGTTGAAGTGCAGCCGCCCTTGTTTCCCAAATTCAGCGAAAAGAATTAGCGCGTACCAAGAGGACCGGATTGGCCGAATTCACCCTCCTTAGCTCCAAGGGCAATATTGAGAACTTAGGATTGAGACTGATTGATCGCGGCCTCGACCTGGGAAACCCCATCTTCTTATAACTGGATCAGAAACAGAAGACCTTCGCACTATCTGAATGAAGTATCCTCATTTCCCCCCAGCTTGAATTACATGCAATGCCAGAAGAAACCGACACGTTTGAATTAAGGCGCAGAGATCTGCGATGCTCCGCAAGTCCCCGTCGAATCCCGCGGTCATCTTTTTTAGATTCGTCGCTAGAGCGCTTGGGGCTATCTTGAAAAAGGCTCAGTCGAGTGATGAGCAAAGAACCGTGCACGCAACATAGATAAATGACACCGTTCCTCGATCCTATCCCGCTGAAAAGAGCATAATAAGATAAACCTTACAAATAGTCGACTTACGAGTTCGAGCCACTCGATTCATTTCTAGACCTTGAGTCTAGTTGCCCTGACCCTAAAGTCATCAAATATATCCCTGAACGAGGGTAAGCTCATTCTGTCGCTTACATCTGGCCTCAATAGCTCATATTTCTATCTCTCTTAGTCAACTATCCCCACCGATCTACGTCGACCAAGACCACGAAGCATGTCGACGAATTCGGGTTTGCAAGGCCTATGTGATGTTTGTGATCATTCGAATAACGGACATAGTACAGCACTGTGTCCGGCCCGTGGTTGCAAAAACAGGTGGAAACGCTGTCAAATCACTGGTGGTTGTTACAATTTGTCTAACAACTGGACATATCGAATGTGCTATGGATGCAAAGACCATCCTGCAGTCAAACCCGATCTCGATTTTGGCGGGAAACAAAAAGATGTAACTCGACAGCAAAAAGAGGATTACCAAACCACAGCTAATGCCGGTGGTGATACCTCCAGCGGTGAAATGAGTGGCAGCAGTCCTTACTTGGGAGGCAGCAGTCCTTGATAAGTCATTCTATTGCTCCCTATTTAGCATGTGCCTTGTCTAAACTACAAATGATATTCCTTTTGACCATGTTTTCAAATTTATCTGTAAGTTTACATCAAACAATATACCTGAGAGTAATATCCATCAGCGAAAAATTAGTAGATATAGGCCCTAGCGTCAATCTGTATACTGGGGATACACCGCCATATGTCTTCGGGAGCGGGCTCTGGGACGCAACCCATCATAGTAGCATGTATGTAATAGCAAGCTGAATCGGGGAAATGAATACATCATCATCACCACCATCATCATCATAGTCCCTAGCGTCGGCTGGCTCTACTTAAATGTTCGATAATGTAGGTATGAAGAAGTAAACGAAAATTTGACGCAACTGCTTAAATTATGGAGTTTTAAAAGTAGAGAGCAAGTAACAATCAATATCCACTTCAGATTTGTATCCCTGGCAAACAGGCGTTTGGTTGCGAACGTAGTCAAATCATAAACCGGTGGGTCTAAACCCACAAATTGAGAGTATTATTATGCATTCTGCTTTAATGTGAACATTTTTCATCACGGATGAACCTTCGAGCGTTCTGAAATGTTAACGAAAAGTGCATTAAAAGTCGGATTGAACGTCTGGGTGATAATGTTTTCGGACTTCTGAGTTCCAATCCAAGATATAACCCAAATCTGGGCTATAGTGATTGTCTTCCTTCAGAGGATCGTGCCGGTCAGCATTGTGGAAAGGGTCAACTATCCATGGGTGATGTTGTAATCGCCTAATGTCTTCAACCTGTGAAGTTCCATCATCAAGCCAAAGGCCATCATCGTAATGCCTATGCCAATTAAAAAGATGAGATGTTGCGCTCCGGGATTGCTCATGGACATCCTTGCATTTTTTGGATCTCAAACATGTAGGTCAATATAGAGTAGCAAGGGCTCAAGCAGCTTTCAACTTACTTTGGGAATGGATGATTATCTCTAATCGTGTCAAACAATTGTTGATTCTGAAAACCCCCAATTTGATACTCATGTTGCTCGCTTGCCTGTATCTTTTCGCCTGAACGTAGAACCCAGAAATTCGCCCATGATACAGGCAAATGTTTGTGATCGCCATGAGCGAGTATCTCAAGACTGAGGTTTTGCTTCGTTGTAAACCCAAAGGGGGGAGCGGTGGTCCAAGGAACTGATGCTTCTGGTCGGCAATAGAAAGATATCTGGAACTCTTCTGCTCGGGAAATAGCTGTTTCGCTTATACCGTCGGGGGGGTACATCACTTGTAGAAAAGTTTGGACTGTATCTGTCCAAATGGCAGCGACGAGGCAGATAGGAGGTATTCGCTTAAGCGATAGGTTCAATATTGGTGTGGCCTGATCGTGGATCACGAGAGAATACCATAAGAGGCTTAACTGCGGTTTTTTCCGTGAAATCGCATCCAGCAGCTTCTGATAGTCTTGTTTGGCAGGTGAAAGAAGAGCCTGTCTAATACCCAAAGATGCAGATCCAACTAAGTTGCACGGAATAGTGGGATCAAAAAAGGCACTGCAGAGTAATGAGTCAATGGCATCTTGGGTAGCACTCAGGGTTATCCATTTATCGATCGTTCGGAAGATTTCATGGAATACAGTAAGATTCGCTCCAAAGGGAGTTGGATGCCGAGATATCATCGCGGGTGGGGATAATGTTGGGCTTGGTACATTCCGTGATGGAAGCAGCAAGACAGAGGCAAATCCAACAAGCATCTCTCTTTCAAGGCCATCCGAAATACAGAAATCCAAGAGGATATTGAAAGCAACAGATGAATCCGGTAATAACGGAGCCCATTCGTAACTGTTCATGCACTGCGTGAGCAAAAGCGAATCGAATAGAGTGTTCACATAGTTACCTTTTGTTATGACTCTTATCTTCGCCTCGTAGCATCCAGGGTGAGTATGACTTGGCCTGTCCTCTCTTCACCCGAGCTAGCCAACGACCTTGTGTAATGAGTTCCCAAAAATTTTCGATCATCGAATCACTACTATCATGGAAAAGGGTACAATCCTCGCCAGCAGACTGCAATATTTCCACCCAGCGAGAAGACAAAATATATGACCAAGCCAAGACAATACTTGTGAGGTATGCGGGTCGCAATTCCCGTGTTGCAAGCGTGATACTGCGTACTGGTTCTTCCATGTCGGTTTGATAGAAAGTGGGCAGCGGAAACCCAAGACATTGAAGATAATCAATTGGCTTCCAGTGTTGGCTGCATCTAGGATGACCCGTAGTCTTGAGATGCAATGACGACCGCAGGACAAGCGGCGACTTTGTCCCACCTGTCAACTCAATGTTCTTAGGCGGCTCGTGGAAGAAAGGGGGGACATTTTCCAGGAGACCTAGAAAAGCCCTCAAATGCATGTCTAGCGACTTAAGTGCTCCGTCACGACTGGATGCTGCTTGGCTCCAGGAGTCTAGACTGGCTTGATAGCATGATTGGAACTGAGTTTCTGGCGGACAAATACCGTCACCAGGGTACCAGTCTTCATCGTCGCTGCTTTGAGAATCTGTTATGGAGCTCGACTGCTCTTGGTCGTAGTCTTTCGGAGGATAGCTGTGCTGACTATTGGGTTTCAATGGCTCCATTTTTCTTTCACGGCGTAGGAGTTGACGAAGAAACAGAAATAATCGGAAAGAAGCGCAGAGTGTATAAACGGCGTAAAGGCGGTGAGGAAATCGTTATGGGAGGCGGTAATATTTCTGCCAACCAATACACACACGTGGGGCAACAGCTCGGTTAAGAGACAGATCGTTGACATTGGAAGCCTGAGTAGTATAAAGCAAGTATACCCAGGACCCTTCTAACCTACCTACTAAAAATCATATTTCTGGATCATGGCGGTAACATAAGATCGTTTAGAATATTTTTCTTGTCAATAGCTAACGTATCGTAAAATTAGAGAGGCGACAATGCGTTCGCTGGACAAGAAGAAAATGTTCCAAGCCATCCATTCCCCCGGTCGACTACCCAAGAACGATTTTTTTCAAGGGTCTCTATCTTTCTATATATAACCAGCAAACGGACGATTACTAAACACATATAGACAACCTTATCGCGACGATTGAATACAGTGATTATGTGGTGCCCCCAGGGTACACAACCGAGTGTGCAACTTGTAGCCCAAAGATATTGTTGAGGTGGTAGGCTTCATAATTTCCGCACCATATTGTCAGAGAGACATCTTGCGTGTTGTCTCTTAGTAAAAGAGTAGCTAGGCAGCTGGTTATTTCCATACCCTTACTCCTTTCCTACTTCCAGAGCCGGCTTCGTCTCACAGCGGTCTGAAAGGGCTCAGGAAGTCTGTCTATACAGGCGAGTTCGGGATTTGTGTATATATGCTTCATTTCTAGGTTATCATTAGCCATGCAACAAATGCTAATAATACTATCATACCTCGTTTCTTATCAAAAGGAGAAATTTGGCTTACTCGAGTCGCCTCCTTATTGCACTCACTGTCTTGTCGTCTACGTTTTCTTCGAAAGTCTTGGCAAACATCTGGTAGACAGTTATACCCTGGAAAGGTTAACCTCTGCCTATAAAAGGTAGCTATCTTAGGTATAAGAAACCTTTTAGAAATTCTTGGTATTCTGACGATGCGGACAAGGATTCTTCGTCATCTAAGAGTATGTGTAAAGTTTCCCCGACGATTGATGGCCATAGTAGGTTATAATCTGGCTCGATGTCGTCCAGAAGATAAGTAAAGATATCCGTTGACATTGAACCTGCTGCCTAGAGGCTTAGCGCAAAGGCCATTGCCCATGAAACCACGCCGCTAGGACTGATTTGCCGAATCTGTTTATATCTTTGTCAGGTCGAGGCTTTTCGAAATTTGATATCTTCGGAGTCGAACGTCGAATCTTTCGGTCCTTTGAATATAATGGCAATATTTCGTCTGAAAACTGGTTGTTGTATCAACCGACCACTAGTCAGGAGCCTCCCCTTACACGCCAAAGTATGAGACCGGAGTGTTTCACTCTCCTTCCATACTCTTTCTGCACGTGATAATCTTGATTCTCGGACCTTGCTTTCCATCCTGGTCGCCGTCGTTGCAAGACTCTTACTCATGTTTCTGAGAGCTTTCTATTGCTCTTCATTGATGTATATTTTCGCTATTTTTGGTATCAACAAGTTGGCTTTTTCCAAAAGCCCCTTTACTTGTGATACAACAGCAGTAGCAGACATGGTTTGATAATTCGAAGACGGAAAAGTAAGTGGTCGCATAGAAGAGTGAAGTAAAAAGCGGCCAACTTGCTAAGTACAGAGGGGAGCTAAGGTTAGGGAGGGGTAATCACGAGGAAAAGATGTGCAGACTGTCAACTTATGCAGGTTTGCCAAAGTTTTACGGCTGTGAGGGGATGTAAGGTTTCTGATTTGCTGCCTGGTATCAGTCAAGCGCATGAAATGTGGACCATTATTGTGAAGCAGATAAACAAGCGTGTTTTAGTAGCCAATGACATATCATCTGGAAGCGCCGTCATATTTCGGGGATAAAGTCATTACGCAATTTATTGCCGTAGGATTGAGACCCCTGTATGTACATATGCAACCTAGCGCACAGATACAAAACCAGGATCGTTTCTTAGCCGGTCTGGCATTTAATTTTGTTTCGCGTGCCCCGCCGAAAATTGGTTTTTATCAATCTTTCATTCTACATTCACAACAATTTTGGAGAGTATACATACTTTTTGGTACGATGGGTGCCATGGAGAGTAGGCTATCTGCTCTGCCAATACTTATAGATGCGTTCGACCAGGGGTTTCAAGATGGAAGAACTAGTATTGATCTCTCTTCTTTCTCATCAAAGGTCAGTTGCCAATCTTAGTATATCCAAGCCTATTTATTCACACTTTTGTAGGAGATTGTAATTCTTCAGCGGGCTTGGCATCATGTTCCTTACATCCTCAAGCAGAGACTCGATGCAAACGATGACGATAGGATGCAGATAGATGATGATAGTCCGGATCCGGTTGGCAATAGGGTACGGCAAGGGAAGAAAAGGTCACAGCCTGGCAGTGATAAGAGCAGTCACTTCAGTAACAAGAAAAGGATACGATATTCACTTGCCAGAGAAGGAATGGAGGAAGAGGAGGAGGCAGAGTGGGAGGAGGAGACAGAGGAGGAAGAGGCAGAGGAGGAAGAGGCAGAGGAGGAAGAGGCAGAGGAGGAAGAGGCAGAGGAGGAAGAGGCAGAGGAGGAAGAGGCAGAGGAGGAAGAGAAAACAGAACTGCTGATGAAACTACGTCAATGGGAAAATGACATCGCGTCATTCTGGAAGAGCTCTTCAGCGCCCGACTTTATCTCTTCACCTTGGATTGGGATCCAAGATTTTCTGAAACAGCAACAGGATCTGTCTGATGGGATAAACAAGACACAGCAGCGCTTCCTCGCTGTGGTATGTCACCGATTGAAGGAACGATTGTGCGACAGACTATCTACAAAGACACGGCAGAAACTTTCAGAAGCCGTGCTAGATCCCCAAAGCACCAAAGAACTGTCCTCACATGCAAGGCTAGGTGAACGCATTGATGCTTTGTGTCGGGGTATTGCTGGGGAGAGTTCAGTTGGGGCTTCTACAGATTCACATCTCTATTTCATCTTCTTGTTGGATTCTGTCAGCAAAACGTCGTCAGTTATAACTTCCAGCATAAAGTGTTGTTTTCATGACAGGTTGCTAACTTTGTTAGGTTAAAAAACTTAAGGGTCTCACCTTCAAAAGACAGTATCGAGAATTTCAAGCAACACGACTCTAAGAACACAGAACTTAAACGACGTCTACAGAGTTTAGCTCCACACGTTTTCAACTTCTTATGGTGTCCCACCATAGAGAGCCTCGCTGGGAATGTCACAGGTGAGTTTTTAATTTTCTCGCTCAAACCAGCATGGCCAGGGTTCTCATCTTCATGGCAGATATAGAAAGGCATGCCGTTCCTACTTTCAATGCGAGTGACTACAGAGGCAATGCCAGTCTCCCAACACCCCAGTTCTCATGTTCCACCGATACTGCAAATAATCATTCTTTTGAAACAGTTGATAAGCATTTCAACGAACGTGACTGTGACGATAATGACACCACAATATTTTCCTCAAGTGACACAAGGATATATTCAGAGCCAAGTCCCACCGACATCAATCCGCCATCGAGATCTCATGAAATTGACACTGCTACCCCCGACGGCCAGCAGCTTTCCCTTGATAATCACCAGAAAGAACCAAATCGTCTCATGTCTAGGGAAGCTGTTAGGGACAGACTTTCCCTAGTCGACCGTGAAACTCGTCAAAGCTCCTTTGACATTCATGCAGGGATATTCCCTAGCGAGCCTACCAATCCTGATAGTGCCTTCGACATCCATGGGGAGCCTTTCCCTAGCGAACCTTCCAATCCTGATAGTGCCTTCGACATCCATAGGGGACCATTCCCGTACGAGCTCACCGACCCTAATACTCTCTTCCACTTGCATACGGAGCC